GGGATGTGTGAGGCTGAAATTAGAAAAGCGGCGAGACACAACAGAATGCTTCCATCCTTGGACAGAAATAGCACCTGACAAACTCCTGCCTTTGCTCGAACATTTGAGGAGACTGTGACAAAACGGTGTCTTCGTCAAATCAACTGTCATGACGCGGTTTCACTTTTAAATCAGAAAAGGAGAATCACACCTGACAAGCTTCTCACTCCTACACAGACATGTTTTGGCAGACTCTGAGGAGGGAACAGTCAACAGGATGGGTTTCCTTTTCGTGTCACTTCCAAGACCTCACCGATGCTACAGTGAAACCATTCAGTGCATATTTGCATCTATATTAAACATCCATTTATTTCATTCAAGGTGACCATTGCCTCTTAGAAGAAAAAAGAGGGTCAGAAAATAGAGGCCTGACACACCAGGGGTCAAATGATCCAGATTTAGAGGTCAGGTGATGATTTATCATTCTGCTGTGCTGCTGTGAGAATAGTGCCAACATTTAAACCTAATCACATTAGTCATGCTCCCTACTCACATCTCTGCCAGACATTTAAGCAGACCCCTGATTATAATGATTCACGGGGCAATAAACCAGAGGAAAAATAGTGGGTATAAAACGCAGCCGAGCAGATGCAAGTATGCAGGAGGTGAAGAATATCTGTTGACTGACGAGGCTTCTGTGAGGCCAGTGCAGAAATGTGTGCAGTTTGATGGAGGGAGCGTGAAGCACTGACACTCACCAGAGGAAAGAAGCAGAGAGGAGCAGGAGAGGACTTCGTGTTATTTGGCAGAGGCGTGTAAGAAAAGCGCTGATCACGACAGACAGAGAGAGAAACTAACTCCGCTCACCTCTTCACATGCACGCCGCCACCTCCGACCAGCGCCTTCGCCTCTTTCCGTCCCCCGGGAGGATCCTCCGACCGCACGGCGACTCCCGCGGAAGCTTTCCCGGCAAACTTCGCCGCGACACCGCGTCCGAGCTGAGCTGGCAACGGGGAAGCCCTGCGGTCCCCCTCCTTCTCCTCCTTCTTCTCCTTCTTCTCCTCCACAACTTCTTTCAGCAGCGGATCGTCCGCGGCGTTGCCCCCCAAAAAGTACAAAAGTAGGAAAACTCCGAAGCACACGGCGATCACAACTACTTTGCAGTGGATCCGCATGGTGAGAGCGACTTGTTGCGGGCCGAGGAGCAGACGGGGCCCCGCTCATGTCTGCGGGAGAGGGGGAGCAGCCCGGGTTGACATTTTCTTCCCGTCCATCGCTCGCATTTTCCCGCAGATGATGATGGAGAGGAGCTGCTCACCGTCCATGGAGGATTACACAGGGGAGGCGTGGCCTCTGCTGCTTCACCGTAATGACGGGACTGTTAACGCACGACTATGTAGTAATAACTATACTGGGATAGAAGTTCTGCTTAAAGGTCCAGTGTGTGAGATTTAGGTGAAAGGGATCTATTGGCAGAAATTTAATGTACAATAATCCTCATGATGTTTTCAATAGTTCGTTTCATCTAAATTATATGAATTGTAGTTTTCTTTACTCCATAAAAGCCCCTTTATATTTAAATACTTTATATTTACATGGAGGGGACCCTCTCTACGGAGGCCGCCATGTTTTTTACATTAGTCCAGACTGAACAAACTGAACACCTTTTGAGTTTTTATGACAATTAAAGGCTACCACAGTTTCTTTTTCATGTTTGGAAGGAGAGGGTGAGGTGAGGGGTGTCCAGCTGCAACATGCAATTTCAACACTAGATATCACAAAATTCTACACACTGTACCTTTAATTACATTTTTCGTATATTTTTTTCATATATATTTTTGGTGTACCAATACAATTACAATGACTTCCATGATATCTTCACTAAAATGATATCTTATATAATACTTTACTCATCAATTTCTC